AGATGACACGGTGGGGAGATGACACGGGTGGGGAGATGACACGGGTGGGGTGATGACACGGTGGGGTGATGACACGGGTGGGGTGATGACACGGGTGGGGTGATGACACGGGTGGGGTGACACCATTACGCTTGGCTACCGAATAATCTTTGAGGAGATCTCGTATTTATCAGTTATCCCTGTCTGACATGTCGAGTTAAGGTTGTAGGTAGGGTTGATAAACATCGTGGTATAAACATCGTGGTATAAAGGGGTAACTATGAGCATGGCGTACTTAATGATTATATGTCACTAGGACACACACACACGCTGCATTTGTACCACCCACACGTGGAGTGAGATTGCATGGTTGGTGGGATAGAGATGGGTCCATAAAGGAGGGGAGGGTCCATAAAGGAGGGGTGGTTACATACAGGAGGGGTGGTTACATACAGGAGGGGTGGGTCTTTTCCGTTGTTAAATTTGGTGATTTATATTGGCTGAGATGTTTAATGTTTGTTTGAATGGAGATAATGTTGGTTCTGCAAAGGAGGAGTTCCGGTCGAAGATATTGGAGGGTGCGAGTAATTACGCGGACAATTTATTTGACAGGACACTACGTGTGATAGGGAGTGGTCGTAAGGTATTGGTTGTGTTAGGAGGTGCTGAATTTGGGCATGCGAAGGGTAAGTTGAATGCGTTGATGGCTGATGTAGCGGATAAGACATTAGTGGCTGCTGGTTGTCAAGTGAAGACGATAAATTGCAGTGACGTGGAGCGTGTTGATTTTAACCCGGAAGAACATGTGAAGGCTCTGTTATGGGCAGAGGTTGTAATCCTTCAATTTCCTATATGGTGGTTCAGTACTCCATGGATCATGAAAAAGTGGATGGACATCGTCTTAACTACACCCACACTATCCACCGATGGTCGTTCGAGAAAGGATCCCACCAAAAAATATGGCAGTGGCGGCCACCTACACGGCGGCTACTATATGCTTTCTGCCACTTGGAATGCACCACCCCAAGCCTTTGAAGACCCCGAAAACTTGGTCTTTGGCTTGTCAAAAGACACCGCTCTCATGAGCATGCACCTACTCTGCCAATTCCTAGGACTACAACCACTCCAAACCTTCTCTTGCTACAATGTTATGAAAGACCCACACGTCGACGAATATATCACCGAGTATAAAGAACATCTCCTCCGCATTTTTTCAAACTAAACACACTCTTTTTTGTCACGGGCGGGTCGACAAACTCCGTGCGCAGCCTAACAACTTTCTGAACGTTCTTGAGCGTCTTGTTCTTGAGTGTTTTGGGTGGTTGTCAGTCCCGCCAATTTTTCGTGTACTCCTTTATGCTAGAGTCACTACAACGTCAATGGAGAGCACATCGGCGTCTGTGCCAGGTCGTCTTGGTAGTCGCCGCGGGGTGCTACATTGTTGATCGGATCGTAGTTAGGGTGAGAAGAGACCGCGAACAGAAACTGAAGGAAGGCGAAAGCTCATTACCACTTGAACAATTGCTCGTGATTGCACAAGAAATTGTGGAGGCGGAATTCCCCTACGCAACAGACCTCGCCCAGTAAGCCTCCCCTTACCGGTTCACTCCCCTTACCGGTTCACTCCCCTTACCGGTTCACTCCCCTTACCGGTCCGGCCGGTATTGGTTCATGTGCAGGATGGTCACCCCGTCGAATCGGCAGCAATTGGTTACGTCAATCCGGCAGCGAGGAATGGAAATGGAGTTGGCTATATTGAGACGGCGAGAATTGCAGGTCACTCCGGAGGATTTTATGAGGATGTGTCGGTCATCAGGATCACCGAAGCTGGAATTGTTGTTAGAGGAGTTGAGAGTGATGTTTGAAGACGCATTGAATGGTCGATTACCATTGATGCCCGGTTGTTCGATCGAGTTAACGGATGCTCTGGTAGACAGAGTTTTCGAAGTGTTTTCTTTTTCAAACCGCCGCATCCGAATTGCGACCATACAACTCGTCGAGACCTACATTTTAAATGCCGCTGCTGAGACCGCCACAGACTGGCTTCCTTCAGGATACGAGGAGACTGTTTCATTCCCGCCGGATTTGGCGGGAAATCTCAAACATGAATTACGCACGATTCAGGCCGACTCATTGGCCACCTGTTCCATGCCACTCTGCCAATACCTCCACTCGCTAGCACTCATAGTCCGAGACCCCGCATACCACGACAAAGTAACCGCCACCAATAGGGCCCATGCCAGGGGAACTCACACCACAGGTTTAGTACAACCAGCAGTAGAACAGTTGTACTGGCTCTGGTTGGTGTAGTAGTTCCTGCAGTGCTACAGTTTGGGTTAGACTGAGAGATGTCATGGGTCCCAATTGCTTATCTTCTTTAGATGAATTCTATGGCGCGCTTGCACAAAGAGGCGCTGTTGATGCGACTCATTGATCTACGAGACCAAATTGCTAGAGTCAAGTCGGCGAACGGCTCGGCAGGCATAGGACCCGGTGGTGACATAGGACCCGGTGGTGACATAGGACCCGGTGGTGACATAGGACCCGGTGGTGACATAGGACCCGGTGGTGACATAGGACCCGGTGGTGACATAGGACCCGGTGGTGACATAGGACTCGGTGGTGATGCAGCTGGAGACGGTCAGGGGCAGCGCACTGCAGAACCAAGTGCCCCCGTGGCACTGCGTACAGTCGAGCAGGTCAGAGACGACTTGCGCAATCATTCGACCTGGGCGGAACCCGAAACCGCGATCACATCTGCGGTCGCAAAAACCCAAGTTGTGGAGACCGGTGTGGTGGTGGAACCGCACGTTGTGGAACCAGACGACGATGAGGCGGACGAAGATGAGGCGGAAGTTCCTTCGAGGTCACCGATGGACGCGGACGCCGCTCAATCGGGCTGTCAGGACGGCGTCTTCGAGTCCTCTTCCGAACCGGCTTCTCTCAAGTCGCCCACCGCGTTCGAGACTCCACTCGGCACAGCTGAGGCCTTCGACGAGCTCCAGGGCCGGGAACAGCCGGTGCAGATACGGGAGCAAGTGCCGGAGCATGTGCCAGAACAGAAACGAGAGCCAGTGAAGGTGCAAGAAGAAGTGCCAGAAGAAGAGCGGGATCAAAAGCACGGCCAAAAGAAAGGGCAAGCACAAATGCAAGAGCGGCAACAAGTACAAGAGCAATGGCAAGTGCATGAGAGGGAGCAAATGCAAGAGCCGGTGCAAGAGCCGGTGAAGATGCTGGAGGAAATGCAAGAGCAAGTGAAGGAACGGGAACCAGAACCGATGCAAGTGGAGTCAAGGGATGCGCCCTGCACGGGGGATGAGGTAACGCAGTGTCCGGCGGATGCGGCACAAGAGGGTTCTGAAGATCACATGGAGGAATATCCAAGTCTTCCGCCTTGCGTCATGCGAGCCATTGACAGCTCCTACCAAGGGAAAGACTGTCCCGGGAATTCTTGTTGACCTCATAGAACAAGTTCCACAAGCCGGACCCAGAGTACTGTGACCAGACCTGTTATGACCAGAATTACTGTGATCAGAACTACTATGACCAGACGTGCTGTAACCTCTGATCTGTGGTCGGCCTGGATCCGTGATCGACACTGACGAATAAGTACGGATGGTCTACCTATCCATGTTTTAAAAATTAAGTTTTACATGTCATGCTGGACACTTTATGTGTTTGGGAATCTGCGTAATTTTGTTTGTGAATTATTTTGTCATACAAGTGGATGGATGTAAGATCATGAACTGGCAGGAGATGTTTCGTGGACGACCTGGCTCGTGTAGTCGGGTAAGAGATCCTTGTTCTGACCAGTGCTCTGAGGAGCAGCGGGAGTGAGCCGGACATCGGGTGACAGGGCCTGAACGATGTTGTGTCGACCGGATTCACAGCGAGTGCAACGAGGCTAAAAAGACAGTGAGTGGCTTAACGAACAAGTGCCCAAATGGTCGGTGGATTTTTTTTTGGCGTTTATAGAAACGTGTGTGTGGGTGGGAGAATGTCTAGATGAGCAAGTGTATAACGACGACTTACGCAAAAGGATCCCGCACAGCTCTCTACGCTGGTTCTGTTTATCCACCATAGGCCAGTAAGGCCCAGGCCTATGAGACTTAACACTCCGGGAATTGTTCCAAAGAAAGAGTGGTTGGCTGGCGGAAATATCTTCTCGTAGATGGAGTGAGATAGCAGACCCAAAGAGGTTCCAATAGTGACCAGCGTGGCTGCCGGAAAGAAGATGCTCATGCAGAGCGATCCGAGGGGCTCAATCATCGTCAACATTGCACCTCAGAATTACATGCATAAATATAACATAACCTGAGCGCCCCCTGAGCTCAGGTTATAACATGGCCTGAGCGCGTCCAAATGTGCCCCCAGGTGTATGCCCATCTGACCCCGCGCGGCCGCATATAGATAGGTTGCCCACACCTGTTCGGAAAGAATCACGGCCACATAGATGTCTAATGTGATTCGGAATCATTAGCCGCCAAAGCATCTCCGAAAGTAGCATGCCGCCATATGGAAAGCTTCCTCTGGATACAACGATGTCTCAGTTTCGCCCATATTCCTGTTCTGACCCCCTTCGTGTTCTAGTGTTTTGCGCTTACAGTGAGTAGGGATCTGTGTTTCTCCACGTCGTTGGCGATATGGTCCAGACGAATCTCGGGCCCAAAGATTAGTTCGACTGCAGGTCTGAGCTTGAAACCGCCCGCGGGGTCTTCGTGACCTCGTTTGAGCCGTTGGTTCGCTAGCGACAACACGACGATGGCCAGAACACGGATCACGACCATGGTTGAGCTGTCCTCGCTGTTGAGGCTCAGGGATTGAATCACATTGTCCAGCTCTTGCTGCACATAGCTAGCGTCTGGTTGCTGTCCGGAACTGAAACGCCAATGCAGAAGGAACTGTGCCAAGTACGCTAGATACACTCCACTACGAACGACAAGGGACTTTGCTACAGCGTCTGCCTGGTTCGTTGGAGTGTGCAGTCGAGGCAGCTCTATAGACATGGAAACTCTGCCTCCGTCTAATCGGATTGTCTCCTCCTCCGGTAGTGACGCCCCCCGGTCTCTAAGGGACACATGCTCCTCAGTCTGTGGCTGTTCCTCAGTATGTGGCTTTTCCTCGGTTTGGTGGTGTTCCCCGGTTTGGTGGTGTTCGACAGCCCGTAGCTGGTCCCCAGCATGTGGCTGCTCCGTGTCTTCAGTGTCAGTAACACACAAGGACCATTCGTCCTCGATAAAGACTGGGGTGCGGACAACGGGAAAATACTTGTTAAGGGTGGCCAGTAGTTCGTTGATGGAGCTTGTGATCTTGGCAACGCTCTGGATCATGGGCCCGAGGAAAGCGGCTCGTAGAGTGGCCTTTTCAGCAATGGTTTCCAGATAAAGTTCGTGGAGCGTGTGTAAGTTGTCGTCAAAGGGGATTTGGTCGATACGAACCACGGATCCATCGACCATGAGACGGCGGAAAAGGATGGTCATGGTGGTCAGAACGAACGACCACATTTTCCTTTTTAGAGATCCCAAGGTGTCAGTGCCCTGAGTAATCAAAGACTTGGCCATGAGACATGTTCTATTCCGGACAAGTATACTGTCATTTACTATACACGCAAAGACCGCTTCCAGCAGATTGCTGGTAGGTACTAAACCTTGTTCATATACCTCCCGGAGGTATTCCATACATGCTTCAGACAGCCGGTCTTTATCCGTACCGCTTGCATTATTCCGTCGTCGTTCACATACAATGTCTGTTATTATCGGCAACGCTGACAGGAGTAGCTTCTTACCCCCAAGAGACCTGCTATTCTTCGCTACACTCGACAGCAGGCGTCCCCTGCTGCCATTCTGGAGTAGTCTCGTAAGAACTTGCACGCACTGAGTAACGAGGTACGCCGAGGATTTCTCAGCCAGACATTCCCATACAGTATCAACCCAACGCTGATCATTGGCTAAATCTGAATATCTACCTACTATTTTGCCAAGGGTTTCTAACAAGGCTGCGCGACCCCATTCTTTTTGAGGGGAAGTTTTACGGGGCGTTAGAGAATGTTCGCTATCAATGGATACATGTTTATCAATCGATCTATTCGCGGAATGCCGGTCAATCTCATTCTGAGCGGGATCTCCCAAATCACTGCTGGTGGTGGCTAACAATTGAAATAAACCAACCAATGACTCGAATATTTTTTCCACAAGGTCCGCACCCGATTGGACACCAAGAACCGCCTGAGTGGTAGAACATGCGTCCAACTGCTCGATTGAGAGCTTTGTTATAACCGCCTGAATTTTAGCACACGCGTGCGGCAGGCGCTGGATCTCTACAGTTTGTTTCGCTATTTTGTCTAAATCAGCGTTCAATAGCGCTGCCACGGCTGGAGCAGCGTCCTCCGTCACTTCCATTAGCAGATTGATAGCGGATTGTCCAGTGGGTCCTCTGATTCTGGCAAGATTGAGAAGAGCGAGTTGGAATTGTTTAAATTCGTTGATAGCCATGATCCAGTTATTTTTGGGGATAGATAGTAATAGTTGTAAGGCGGCGGTGACTTTGGCAGCCTTGACTTGTGTCGTGGGCGTCTGACTTAGTAAATTTAAGATCCATGGCACTGAACTTCTGACATTGGCATATGTCCTGGGGCTGCAGATGAGACAGACGGTTTTTAAGATTCCGGTTTGCAGATTATCGTCATTATCGGCGTTATACATACAGCTAAGTAGATCCCTAACTAGAGCAGGGAGCCGATCATCCTGACCTTGAGTGAGTCTTGATAGAATAGTAAGGGGGCTACCGTTGACATCTAGGACGCATATATTGTGATGGTCGGCATACAGACAGAAGGTAATTAATACCCACCAATTCCGGTCAAGGCGACTGGGTTGTAGTAGATGCTGTTGCCAGAATTCGAGCAGTAATTTGCTGGATGCTGAAGTCACGAGATCGAGATTCATGAGTTGTAGCATTAATCGATTGAGCTGTCCTACTATATCTGGTATTGTGATCAGACTACATACGTAACATAACAAGCGACAAACCTCTGCCCTATAGCTTACCCATCGACGACAGTCCATTTCTACTTGTTTAGTGCAAGTTAATAAGTGCACTAACCATAATGAGAACGCATGCAAGTCCTCCTGACTAACACGCCCCAGACTCTTACCCCTCTCTGTAACATAACGACCAAGAAGTGTTGTGGTCATCATAACATTCGAACCTCCCTCACCTTGCCAAGCCGCGACGGTACCTACACTGGCCGTAACCCCACTAGTTGTACCCCCACCGGTCATCGCCTCCACGGTCGTGCCCCTGCCGGTCGTAGCGGCTTTCTGAATAACGTCATAGAGTCTAATGAGAATACTCTTTTTAACGTCGATGCTCTTGGAAGGAGCGTTAAGCATTCGCGCATACAGAGTCCGAAGTTGAGGTATGAGGGTCGCGATGTCCACAGGAATGCTGGCGAGTGCGCTAAGCCAGGACTTGCGCCGGGTCTCCGTGCCTTCGCAGATGCACAGAATGATCGCCTTGGACAACTCCTTTAGTTCATAACAGATAAATGCGCTGTCCAGGAATCGAACCACCAACCTTGAGCAAGCCGCGTCAGACGCCTTACTCACTCGGTGAGAGCGCGCCAACATCGCGCCACGGTCCGTAGACAGGTAGGCCAAAGTTAAGTAAAACAGCTCCTTCAACGCCGTCTCGTATGAAACCCTTGGAGCAACCTGCGACCTCGGAGGCACCACCTCCACCTTCAGCTCCGGCTTTATCCGCAACCGACCTTCGGTCACTCCCTCTTCAGGACTCGGCCTCCGATCCGACCGGGGTCGAGACCCACTACGCCCACTAATGCGAGACACACGAGACTGAGACCTGCCGGTGTGAGACCCACCAGAGTGAGACCCATCGGGGAGGGACCCACCGGCTCTCCGCTGGTCGCCACTTTCTTCAGATCGTGACCCGTCTCCTTCAGATCGTGCGCCACTAGATTCAGGCGGCCGGCTGCCGGCGTTTTTGCTTTCCCGAGCTTCTTTCAGGATCTGCGCAACCAGGCATCTCAGGAGCGTCTGTTGCTGTACGTTCCTCATCTGAAGACAGCGATAATACAGAATCAGAAATTGGGACCAAAGGGGGGGAGGCTTGATGTCTTGCAATGCGAGAATTTCCTGGCTATCATTATCATCCGGCCTACGTCGAGCCAGGCTTCCTAGCTTCACCGAAGAGAGAAAGCAAGACCGCCATCGATCGACAAGCGGTCGCGCGATTTCCACAGCTACCTGTTGCTCTTCACAAAGGTAACACAACCAGTCGTTCGTACTTCCCGTAGCCCCTCCTGCGCACGCCAGATGTGCAACGGCCGTACAGTCATGGGCACTGCACGCAATCTGCGCTCCGGGGTCTCCACACAACTCACAAGCTGCTGCACGAGATCCCGTCGGGTTAAAAGCATTAGCGGTAGACCCAGTCGCGTTACCGGTGCCGTGATCTACTCTGTCGGATCCGGTTCTGTGATCGGGAGCCTTCGACGAACCTGAGTCTTTCGACAAATTTTTGAACCGGTTCTCAACTGAAGGCGGCGCAATAACGACAAGTATTTCGTTGATACATTGATAAGCTACAGGCAGCATTTCGATTGACAAACGCGACAGGGTAGAGCTGCTATCGCCCGACCCTTGGATAAACGCGGAACCAAATTTGGCAATGATTATGGCGCCAAACGGATTCTGCAGAGAGAACGACTCGAAATTCTGGCATATACGAGTCAGCAGCTTCTTCTGACTTTCATACGAGATGCTAAGATGTACAATGTAGCTAACTAATAGACAAACAAACTCAGTTGCTTTTTCCAGCCATCGATCGAACGTGTGTGCGCTGGCTATTTGGTACCAGTCGTCGGCGCCAATTCCCATAGGCCAGTCTACAAGCTTGCTGTAGTACTGAGGGACGCATTGAGGTGCCACTCGGAGACCTTGGCGCTCACGGGCAGGGTTTCTGTCTGGCGTGTGACCTCGGGGGTCGAGTCGGTTTGGCCTAGAGCGGCCGTGGTCGTTATCATCGCATTCTGTAGTGTCATCAGCACTGCTTAGTCCCACAAGAACAACGGGCAAATCTTGGGGTCCTTCCCTCTGGCTAACTGGAGCATGATTCCCCAGAGCATGATTCTTGAGAGATGCGTTATCCCCTAGAGCGTTATCCACCAGACTGGTATCCTCTATAGCTGTAGTGGATCCGGCGGCATTGTTGTTGTTATTAATGATACTGCAGGTGTGTAGATAGGTGATTACGACTTGCGGTAGAACATTTCTATCCAGTATCAGATTAATGTGGTAGAATATAGTATCTAAAGCGGCCGTAGAATTGATTGCTGTTACCTTAGACAGCAGATCATTGATGTGGGAGACACTACTGGTAAGTTCCACAAGAGGTTGAAAGAGTGTATTAAATACAATGCACGATTCACGAGTCGTCAAACCATGGTTAAGACAACCGGTAAAGGCATCAATCATATACAAGAAAAGCGACCTGTAGTCCGCAAGACCTCCTCCAGAAGACTTCCTTGATTTTTTCAAACACCTTCGCACAACGTTACATAGATCAATTAACAAATCTGAAGATACCGTTTTTAGACTCCTTAAACGTCCTTTCAATAAACAACTCAGCATTACTAGTTCCCGCTCCCGTAATGTTATCCATGACTCGTCTAAATGACGACGAAATATCTCACACAACTCGCCCATTCCATCGTCGTCCAGCATGTCCATCCATCCCAACAAATCACTACCGAAAGACACACACACCTATTACACCTGGCTATGAGGGCGTACCAGGGGGGGTGGGGGAGGGGGTTATGGTTCAGGGGACGGGGTTATGGTTCAGGGGACGGGGTTATAGTTCAGGGGACGGGGTTGATCAATTTGTCGTAACAAATACCTGATATAGGGATCCAAGCTACCTGCTGCGGCTAAAGTCCTTAGAAATGAAACCTCTCCTTGAGTAGACCGCGTTCGCTTGGACTCCGGCCAAGCCGGACTCGAACCGGGAGCTTTTAATCCATCCGGCTCGCTAGTGGGCCTTTTCATCCAAAATACTATCTGGCCGGTCCCGACCTGCCTATGAGTCCGGCCGGATGTTTCCGGCCGGGCGTTTCCGAAAATGATGCCCACCCTTTCTATCGCAGGTATCCGACGCGGCGAGTCCGAGTCGGTTGATGATGCTGAATCCACAACCGGAAGGGAGCGTGTGCTGCTAACTAACTAACTAACTAACTAACTAAAGGTCATTCCAAGGTGGTCATTCCAATGTGGTCATTCCAAGGTGGTCATTCCAAGGTGGTCATTCCAAGGTGGTCATTCCAAGGGATGATGGTTCCAGGAAGCGGTGGCACCCCCAGTGGATCCAGTACGTATGTCTTGTAAGCTTTTTCTTGGCGGTCTCCGAGCAGCATCGTCAATAAGGTAAGACCCTCTACCTTCATTGATGTGAACAGTGTACTGACTACTGCCGTTTTGCTCTGCCCTATTCAGTTCCAGGCCGTTGTGGTCGAATAAGAGGTTCTCGTCCTCGGAATCCCAATAGCCGGCCGTTGAGCAGTAGCCGCTCACGGAGACCAAAGCTTGGGGACCACCAGAAGTCGCCAGAGGGCATTTCTTGGTTAGTATGGCAGTAGCTGGGAGTATTTTTCGTTTGACTTCTTCGGCACTCAAAAGCTGATCGGTCGCCTTTGTCGGGATCAGGACTTCATTCACCAATGACTCACGACACCCCGAGACAGACCGACGACCTCTCAACCGTCGAGCTGGCGACAGATAAAGACTCTTCGGGCCGGACAGCCCCGCCGACGGACTCCGTGTCATGCTACCCGACAACGAATTCCGACCTGTCATAGACTGACCTGTTTCCAATAGCCCTGACGGCCGTGGTGCCGTCCGCGACTGATATGCCGCAGGAGTACGAACCAGACCCTGCGCTGTTGGTGGTGGCTCCATCGACGGCCTTGAGACGGCCGGTCTTGAGGCGGCCGTCGGTCTCGTCGGCGCCTGTCTTGTAAACTCCGGCCAGGCCCTCTCCGCCTCCGACCAGGCCCTCTCCGCCTCCGGCCAGGCCTTCTCCGCCTCCGGCCAGGCCTTCTCCGGCTTCTCAGTCTCCTTTTTGACCGCCATGGTCGCGGTCGTGGCCTTGAAGGCCGTGGTCCTGTCCTTGGATGTCGTGTCGTTGGAGGTCGTGTCCTTGGAGGTCGTGGCCTTGGCATGAGTTCGGTACTCGCCTTCGGGATCCGAGTCACCCCCCGCTGTATCCGACTCCTGCGCCTTATCGTGACTGGTGCGGTCAGCCGCCCGTTCGGTCTCGTTGCCCACCACCGTACTGCCTTCAGCCCGGGAGCCCTCCGCAATTCCGTGTTCCTCGCCGGTTCGGGTCCGTGGTCGCAACGGCTCGGCGAAATGGTACCGGCCTTCTCCGCGTCCCCGTTCTGGTCCGGCCGAGCCGTCCAGTGCAGGTCCGCCAGGTCGTGCTACGACTCCTTTTCGGCCGGGGAGTAGACGAGCGGCTCGGGGTGTTTTTGTGAGGCCGTTAGAGGGTTTGGGGAGCTCTCGCTGCTGACACCCTGGCCTCGGGACTCCACACCGCTGGACTTTTGACCGCTCGCCTTCCGCTCGCTGACTGTCGGACTGCGCCGGGATCGGCCTTCGACCTTTGGTCAGCAGCACGTGGTCCTCATCACCCCTTCGTACCAACAGCTCTTCATCCCGAGGCGGGGTGCTATCCCGAGGCGGGGTGCTAGCCAGCTGACTGGCGGCAGACTCCATTGCCGGGGACTGGGCCGACCAGGACGCAAGGTCCGACTGGCATGTTAGGTCCGATTGCTGAGAACCTATTCGTGCCTTGAGTCCACCTGCCCGTTGATTACCCAACCGTTGGCTGCGGTTGGCCTCAGCCGTCCCCTTTGCCGCTGCAACCTTTGCCGCTGCAACCTTTGTGACTGCCACTTTTGTCTTGCTCGAGCAAACGGGATTCCATCCACTGCCAATTTCCTCCTCCTCCACCCAAGGCAGAGACTTGCCCACTGTCGACCGGACTCCTTTCCTCTTGAATTGATACTTGTGCCCGCTGCCGTGACGGTTCTCCCCTGGTCGGTTCTCACCTGGTCGGTCCTCCCCTTGTCGAGTCTCGACTTGCCTATTCCAACCGTGACCGATCAAAACAACTCCGTCGGATAGATCGGTGAGGCACGACTCGGTCCTCCCCTCCCAGGCCTCCACTGTCCGAGTACTGCGGGCCCGCCTGATGTTACTAGGTGTCTCCACCACTCGGTTGTGGTCTTCAACAGAGTGGTCTTCAACAGAGTGGTCTTCAACAGAGTGGTCTTCAACAGAGTGGTCTTCAACAGAGTGGTCTTCGACGGAGTGATCTTCAACAGAGTGAGCAACAGAGCGAGTTTGGATGGCGAGTAGGTTGGATCGGGGGAGAACAGTGGCGACCACCATGTCTCTACCTTTTGACTTCCGGTCGCCGAGGATGTCGGCGCAGTGGTCCAGAGGCTCTATGTGCTTGCTGTAGGTGATCTCCTGTCCGGCATAGCTGGGGCTGAGTAGACCAATCGCGTCGTCAAAGGACCCGGCTACAGCTACGACGCGCTCCGCCAGCCTCCCACGCGACACAGACCGACTTGTGCGACGGCTCACCGACAAGCCACGTTTACCGGATTCGACCATGAACTGATAACCTCGATGGTCAGCACCATCCGACAGGGGAGACGAGGTCCGGTCTGCAAACAAAGTCGAGCCGGCGAGTCGTACGCGAGAACTAACAGTGTTACCACCAGACTCTTTTCTGCCACTCGCACCCTTTCTTCCACGGCTGTGCTTTCCCCTACTGAGGTCCTTTGCCCCACTAAGGTCCTTTCTCCCACTAAGGTCCTTTCTCCCACTAAGATCCTTTCTCCCACTAAGGTCATCCAGATCTGTCCCTTTGGCAGTTTCTGTCGACGTTGTATCTGCAAAGGCGGTTCCTGCTGAAGTGTTGCTCTCCGGTTCCAATTTCGATCGCCAACCTCCCCGGCGGGTCTGAAGTTTCGGGTTAAGACAGGAGTTCGAAACCTCGCCTCCCTTTTCCCCTCGGAATTCATCTGCCCCATCGTACCCGTCAGGCCCTACGTATTCTTCCGCCCCTGCACGGTAGTCACTCCCCCGATTGACAGGTTGGCGCCAGGGCGGAGATTCTCCCTGTAATCTCATTTCTCCCCGGTATGAAGCGGTCTGTCGGGAGCACCCCTTTGGTGGACTGGGTGCCCATATGTCAACTGCTTCAGGTCTGAATTCCTTCTGTCGGACTTCCCGATTACTCGGCCATCTTGCATTGCGACCCCCACTAAGGCCTGTGTCGGTCGTGTGGTCTGATTGTATTTGTCTTCGAGTGGCCTGCCCGCGGCGGTCCATGCGTCTGACTGGCCCGTCGGGGTCGCAGTCCCCGCCAGTGTTGGGTTCAAAAGAAGTGGGCCCAACAGTAGTGGATTCAAACTCGGTCTTGATGGACCCTTTCGCAGGTTGGCATCCGTGGTTTTGGCCACGGCCGCCGGTCCTTGTGGCGTTCCCTGATCCGGTCGTCTTTGTGCTGTTCGTCTTTGTGCCGAGGCGTTTGGAGGTGTGGTTTACAGGAGTGGGTTCCGTGTCAGGAGAAGCAGTCCGGACGGTCGTGCGGTCTGGGAACTCGAAGCCCCCGTGTTCGATTCCGACCAATGACAGGAAACGATCATTCATGGTTCCCGCGACCGACCGGACGGAGAAGGCCTCGCTCGAGTTAGTCCGCGTAACGAAGGTGCCCTCGGGTGACCGCTCCGGACTTGTTGGTCGCAATGGCCGCGGTGCCAACTGCGGACACGCTCGCTTCGGACTCAAACGGCCCTTCACTGTGCCAGCTGTTGTGTGCGTTGAAGATTGGCCGGAAGACGGTTGTGCGCAAGACGGTTGATCCCGAGTCGGCCGCGCAGCGGCAATGCTTTGCCCAGCGACGGCAGATGGTCGTCTGACGGCAGATGGTCGTCTGACAGCAGATGGTAGCCCGACGGCAGAGGGTCGCCCGACGGCAGAGGGTGGCCCGACGGCGGATGGTTGTCGTCCGGTCCCTCGTGTGACGTCGACAGCTGGTCCGTAAGCGTTTTGTTTGACGAGTGGCGGTGCGACCGGTGCGTGGGAGGCCAGGGGGCAGGACCGGAGGTTGGACCTGGGTTGGGGATTGCTCCGGAGGGTTCCAGAGCGGCCAAAGTCTTCGTTCCGTGATCGGTTTAGAGAGTGGTTCGGTGGGCCACGGGTGTGTTGGTCTTGTGGTGGTTGGTTAAGCAGGTGTGGTTCCCTGCTTCTGGAGCGCACACGGCGCATGAGTGCCTCTGTTTGCATGGACATAAGGTAAATTTAATTCTGGGGGATGTTCCATTACACGGTGGAGTTGGCCCGGTCGGGACAAGCCAAGTGTCGAGGTTGTGGGTCGGGTATAGCGAAGGATAGTCCACGTTTGGGTGTTCAACAGGAGCTAGCGGAGGAGGCTAAGGAGGGTATGTCAGATGCTGCTCGTCGTGCATCAGAGTCAACCAAATGGTATCATTATGAGCCAACATGTGTACGTATGTTGCGAAAGTCAGCTTCTTGGTGGAGTTCTAACTCACCGGATCCTGATACTGATGTAACAGTTGTGAACGATATAGTTACGACCGAAGACCTCAAAGCCTTCTTTGAAGATGTATTAGAGGCAGCACAATCCAACGCCGCTCCACGAGCTTTGACTCCAGCACCGACAGTTGGCAAAGCAGTTAAGAAAGATGAGATTAAAAAGAAGCGTGCCAAGAAGGAAGATGACGACCTGGATAGCGCAGAAGAAGAAGAAGATACCGCCACACCACCCACTAGCGAAGACGAAGATGCCGTACAAGATAAAGTCAAAAAACCAACCACCTCAAGAAAAAGAAGCGCTCCAGCCGGCACCGCTGGAGACAGCCCAAAAAGAGCAAAACCGGCACCTATAGACGTCGACGCCTACAACGGAGGGGTACTGCCCGAAGACCAGGTCCAACAAATCAAAGAAGTCATGACCGAAATCAAATCCAAAACCAACAACGTTCTCCAGGCATCCCTCCGTGCTAATAAACAGAAAATATCTGGGCGAAAGGAAGACCTTGTCATCAGAGTCGCAGAATGCACCGTCCTTGGCGCACTACCCAAAGTACGACGCTGCACCTTGTCTGTTAAACACGTGGGCACACACACAACAAACGTGGAGCACACACACAACACACGTGAAGCACACACACAACAAACGTGGAGCACACACACAACACACGTGGAGCACACACACATGTGGAGCACACAACGATCGGCTTGTTGCAGTGCCCGGAATGCAAGAAGGCTGTTTTGTACTACGACCGCCACAGCGGCGAGTACTCCTGCCCCGGTTCATTTGGAGATGAGGTGAAGTGCGCGTTCAAGTCGTTCGAGGTGGAGCGGAATGATTGGGAAGAGCCGAACTAGGGAGCGACTCTGCTGGCTGGCTGGACTGGGAGCTTTTTAGGTATTCTTGGCTCGTCGTTGGTCTCGTCACTCGGCTAAGGTATGCTTGGCCGACCATGACCGCTAAGGTATGCTTAGCGTTGCAGGAAGGATGGAAGGAAGGAAGGAGCTGACCATGGTGGCCTGTCCATGGCGGTTCTGTTCTTGGTTCCGTTTCCCAGTCATGTGGAACATGCTTCGACCCGCTTGCTAGTGCCAGTCATAGCGTTTAATACCTCCTCCTCCTCCTCAATGCAGTTGCATTCATCAGTTTCTGCTCCCCGACGTCGACGGCGTCAATAGACCTTGCTGGCAGTGAGTGTCCGTCACCCCTTTTCCAGAGGACTTGCGGACGAACAAACGGCGGATGTTGTCAGCCATAAAGAACATTGCGCACCTTCGCGCTGCTCATTTGCGGGCGGGGCTGCGCGGGTGGGGTTCATGACGTGGCTTCAGTCCACGCCACCATGTTCACGACGAACATGACGGCAATTATGAATGGGTGGTTGGTTATGATGGTGGGTTCATAGTGGGGAGCAGAAATGTTCCAGCCGAGTTATGGCGGGTCGTGGAACTATGGCGGGTCGTGGATATTTTCTGGAGGAAGAAATCTCTCTCTTTAGTTAGCTAGGTTGTTAATCGGTACGGACCACGGGGCGGGCACAGGACTGTGTGTAACACCAGGGTGTGTGGGGGTGAGGGTGGCAACAGAGTACGGCTGTTTGGTAGTTGAATGAATATGGCGCGTTCGTCGTCCCCCGGTTTGAGGGCGTCGACTGGCATGCGGAGTCGAAGCGGGTGTCCTCCGCCTCCTTCGACGGCGGAGGTTGTGTCGGCGTCGGCGCCTTTGCGAGAGCCGCCGGTGTCGATCAAGCGGTGCGACTTCCTGGGTCAGAGTTCGCGGGTAGTTGTGCCGGTTGCGACTTGCGAGCTGCAACCGGTTGTGATTCTCGGTAAGGAACATGAGCGCTTCGACGATGACGAGGTTGAATTACGAGTGCCACACGCACGTATGCGCTACCGCTGGCGCCGAGGTCCAGCGCGTGCTGTGTGCTTTTTCCACCCTTACCGCACCGCCGCATTGCAATGCTCCGTAACGCTTCGTTGCTTCTGTTCCTACAGCTGTTTCCATCGCGGACACAAACAGTTACGTCGCTTCTACGTCAGCGAAGGCAAGGTACCCATCCCAAGGCAATACAATGAATTCACCTACGGCGTCCCCGTAACCAAAGAAATCCCAACCAATAGCACTCTAGCCCTCGACGAACGCCGCGAACCTGACTGGGAACACTACCGCCTCCTACGCTCATCCGGACTCGTCTCCCACGACGGTGAAGAAGTCTGGACCACACTCTCCTACAATCGCGAATACGTACCCTCTCCCAACGATGTAGGACATCAACTCCGACTCGATGTCTGCGTCGAGGTCGCTCCCACGACCGGCAGCGCCTCCGGCGGCGCCGCCGCAGGCGGCGCTGCGACACCGCTTCCGGTAACGGGAATGGTCGATGCACTCGATGAGTTGCAATTCTGGACGAAGTTCGACTGCTCGAGCGGCGCAGGTGTTTCTTCCGAGTTGGCGAGGTGCATCTCGACACTGTGCGTCCTGCCGACGGTTCCCTTGGCGGAGCGACGAGTTTTCAGGAACGCGACGGTCCCTTTGGCCCTGGGTCCCTTAGCCCCTGGGTCATTGGCCCCTGGGTCAGTGGCCCCTGGGTCATTGGGGGATGGCACGAGTCCTTTACGGTTGCCGCCACAACGCGTAATTGTGCCGGGTACACCTCTGGCGGATGCGTTGGGCATTGGTGGGTCGAATGTGTTGTTAGGAAGGAACTGGTTGAAGAAGAGCGAGTCGTTGCGGGAACAGATTCGGGAGCAGCGTGTGGCGTTTCTGACGGAGCATGCGTTTTCGGATTGGGCTTTGCAGGATGGTGGTGAAGATTTGGGAGAGGCTCGTGTTCCGCCTCCTCCGCCGGGTGGTCAGACAAGTACGTTTACGGTGATGACATGGAACGTATTGGCGGACATTTATGCGACGTCTGAGGCGTATCCGTGTTCGGAGCCACACGTGTTATCGTGGACATTTCGACGTGAGAGAATATTGGCTGAGATAATAGGTTATAACCCTGATATAATCTGTTTGCAGGAGGTGCAAGGTGATCACTTTGAGGAGTTCTTTGCGCCTGCATTGCTCCGTCGTGGCTACGAGGGCCTATATAAACAGAAGACGACCAAGCTTTTCCGTGGGAGTGGCAAGCACAAAGGTGGCAAGTATGTATGTGATGGATGCGCTACGTTTTTCCGAGTACCGAAGTTCCATCTTCTGGACCACTTTGGTATCGAGTTCGCGAGAGTCATGCCGCCTACATCCTCCAGACATAATCGTAATGATAAACGCTTGCTCAAAGACAACGTCGCTCTTGTTCTATGTCTCGAACACATGAGCACGGCCACTCCCGGTGCAACCAACAGGCACAACAGCAAACACGTACTCGTTATTGCTAACACACACATCCTAGCCAACCCTGAAGCGCCCGACGTCAAGATTTGGCAAACCAATACCCTCACCAGGTACGCACCCTCACCACACAATACGTAACACACAATACATAACACACAATACATAACACACAATACGTAACACACAATACATAACACACAATACGTAACACACGTTACGTAACACAATCGAGAGTAACACAATCGAGAGTAAATCCCCGTAGTGTACTAACCGAATATATGGAAAAGACTTCAGCATTCAACCAGGGATCCAGCTCTTCCTCCTCCGGCTCATCTGGAGCTCTTCCCCCCAGTGGAGGAACGCCCGGACTCGTCGTCTGTGGCGACTTCAACTCCACCCCCCACTCAGCTGTATACGAACTCGTGACTCGAGGGGCGTGCGACGCACGGCACCCCGAATTACAAACCAGTGAAGTCTGCTCCTGGCTGCAGGAAGTCGAACTCGGACATGGCTTGAGCCTATCCAGCAGCTACAGCGCTGTAAGTCCCCCCTTGACCTCCACCCTACCCATCGTATCTGCACACCGTATCTGCACAACACACACACACACACTATGCTGACACACACACTATGCTAACACACACACTATGCCTACACATGTTATTTAGGTGGGGGGACGCCGTGTTGATTTGGAACCGGAGTTTACCAACTACACACATGAGTATGTCGGATGTCTGGATTATATATTCTTTGACCACCGGGCGATGCGAGCACAGGGAACACTGGAGCTGGTGTCAGAGTTGCAGTTGCTCAAGGAAGCACACAGCCTGCAGCAATCTGACTGGGTACTGCCCTCACCGCAAAGACCATCAGACCACTTGCCTTTACTTTGCAAATTCGAATGGACCACTTGATAAGTAACATCTGCATCGCAGCAGCTACAGAACGGGGAGGGGAGGGGGGAGAGGAGGGGAAGGGAAGGGGAGGGGAGGGGGAGGTTTCTATGACCGTAGACGAGATTACGCGGGGAACTTTACGTTGTGCGACATTGGCCTGCCTGGTTCTTATTGACAAATATTTTGTCAGGATCCCGCCTGGGTCGAACAGGCGGCGGCGGAGCATATAAGAAAATTGGCCATGTTCGAGATCTTATGGTGGTTGTATAGCTTGGTCTGGGACACATACGGTCGAGGTAGGCGGTCGTGGTGGTGTGTGCTGAGTTGGGTGATCAGTTTTAGAACATCTGTAGGGGGACGGTCACGTCTGGTGCTATGAGTGCTAATTCTGCTGCTCCTTGTTTGCCATGTTCATAGACATTATCTACAAGGCTTTTCAGTTCGGTTTGGGTCAGTCCAGTTTTGGAGATTGTGTTCGGTTCGAACAATTCAAGTCTGGAACGGACGGGATCCATGCGGTTCATTAGCCTGAATTGTTCGTTGACATTTGGGGTGCCTCTTTCATCGACGACCATGATGTAAGGATAGTTGTACCAGCGTCGGTGGCGGCGCTCAACGACGAGTTTATCATATCTGATGACGGCAGGCTGAATGAGAAGCAGAGCGGGTTTGCTTCGTGTTAGACGTCTTGCAACCACGGCACCAAAGCCTACTGCGACCACAACATTTGGTTGAAGTCGATCGTAACTTTGACGTGCAGCTTTTTCTGCCTCATATAATGCCCGTGCTGCAGAACCATAGAATATCAGCCAACCCAGTGCTGCCGCCGCACATGCCGTGCCGAAGCCAATTGTCAATGTCATCTGATTCGAACTTGACCACAGTAACGTAAGAACAATAGTCACCACCGTCGCCAACGCAACCGCACACACTCCGAACATACCCCACCGGTAAACACGTCTGGTGTGCAACTCTGGACACGCCACGCTATCCGGTCCGTATATCTCACGCAACATTGCATCCAACCCAAACTCTGAGGGACCCCCGCGCAAGCTAAAGATAGGTAGAGTAAAAGAGTGAGACAATGTAGGTAAGGCAATGTAGGTAAAGCAAATCAGGGCAGGCCCGGTAAAGATAAATACAGCGGGCAAAGGTATGTATACCGGGTAAAGGTAGATAGCTACAGCGAGAAACGAGCCCCGGTAAGGGTATAACTAACAGCAGGCCTTACCTATGAAGCAACAATATTCGAGGAGCCATTAACGGGGCATGCCTCTGTGTGTGGGGCGGGAGAGGGGGGGGGGGGGTAGGACTATGTATTATGGTATGTCACAGTTATGAGTTTGTTATTTTGGAGTAGATATGTCTATTATACTTTGAAGAAAAATGTTGTTCATGACCTGTGGTTGCATGTGTAAACTCAAACCCTGGTTGGCAGGGACCTGGATACTGGCAACCACGGGATGGTTCCCACAGCCTAGATATAGATAGTTCTATTCGGAATAGTTCCGGTCAGGAATTGTTCCGGTCAGGAATAGTTCTGTCCGGAATAGTTCCGGTCAGGATAGTTGTCACAATGATATGTAAGTATACGTCGTCGGACGGTAAGTATACGTCGTCGTGGTTTGTATACTTGGCGATCGTCGTATTAGAACATTTGGACGGGGACGACGACGTCTGGTGCACTTATGGCGAGTTCTGCGGCTTCATGTTTGCCCCGTTCGTACACTTCATGGATAAGTCCCTGGAGGTCAGTGCTAGAGATGCCTTGTGAGATAGTGTTGGGTTTGAGGAGTAGAAGTCTGGAGCGACTGGGGTCCATACGTCGCTTAAGTCTGGTTTGGTCACCAAGGTGTCGAGCGCCTTCTTCCTCGACGATCAGAACATAGGGATAGTTTCGCCAGCGTCGGATTTCTTGGTTGACAACGCGGTCTAGTCGATTGCGTCCACGACCTTGTCCAGTGTAGCGTTCGAATTGTACGACACCCGGACGGACGAGTAGAACGGCAGTCCTCGGTCGTCGGAGTTTCCGAAGAGCAACCGCACCTGCACCAGTCGCGACAATGACGTTTGGCTGCAGACGATCGTAGTGCTCCCGTGCGATTTTTTTTGCTTTATGTAAAGCCCAAACCGCCAATCCATCCACGACTAATGCAGCAATGAGTAAGCCCGAACAGAATGAGCCCACCACAGCTATCGCTGACATCAATGTTAGTCTTAGACATATCACGCACACCACGGACACCGCCACAGCCAGAAACAAGATCACCCAAAGCGCAATCCGCCCCGCGCGGTACAGACCTGCCGTACCCAACTCCGGACATGCCACATTGTCCGGTCCGTAGATCTCGCGTAACGTCGCGTCCAACCCGAAATCAGATGGATGTCCTCGGAAACTGAACACAGATCACAAATGGTTGGAGAGGAGGGCGAGGGGGGGGGGTTTCTACCTATGAATGAACAATATTCGAGGAGCCATCAATGAGGCATGTCTGTGGGGAGGTCCTTAATTATCACCAAAAAAATCTTTCTAAGCAATTAGTGACCAAACCCTGTCAATGATCATCATGGATGTCGCGGTAAGTATACTTCGTCGTGGTTTGTATACATGGCGATCGTCGTACTAGAACATTTGGACGGGGATGGCGGCGTCTGGTGCACTTATGGCGAGTTCTGCGGCTTCACATTTGCCCCGTTCGTAGACTTCGTGGATAAGTCCCTGGAGGTCAGTGCTAGAGATGCCTTGTGAGATGGTGTTGGGTTCGAAGAGTAGAAGTCTGGAGCGACTGGGGTCCATACGTCGCTGAAGTTTGGCTTGGTCACCAAGGTGTTTAGCGCCTTCTTCCTCGACGATGAGAACATAGGGATAGTTTGACCAGCGTCCGATTTCTTCGATAATCACTCGTTCAAGTTGATTGCTTCCACGATCTTGTCGTCCAGTGTAGCGTTCGAATTGTATGACACCCGGACGGACGAGTAGAACGGCAGTTTTCGGTCGTCGGAGTTTCCGAAGAGCAAACGCACCTGCACCAGTCGCGACAATGACGTTTGGCTGCAGACGGTCGTAGTGCTCCCGTGCGATTTTTTTGGCTTTATGTAAAGCCCAAGCCGCCAGTCCATCCACGACTAATGCAGCAATGAGTATGCCCGAACAGAATGAGCCCACCACAGCTATCGCTGACATCAATGTTAGTCTTAGACATATCACGCACACCACGGACACCGCCACAGCCAGAAACAAGATCACCCAAAGCGCAATCCGCCCCGCGCGGTACAGACCTGCCGTACCCAACTCCGGACATGCCACATTGTCCGGTCCGTAGATCTCGCGTAATGTCGCGTCTAACCCGAAATCAGATGGATGTCCTCGGAAACTGAACACAGATCACAAATGGTTGGAGAGGAGGGCGAGGGGGGCGAGGGGGGGGGGTTTCTACCTATGAATGAACAATATTCGAGGAGTCATCAGTACAGTGTGTCTGTGAGGAGGCCTCAATTATCGCCAAAAAAATATTTCTAGGCAAATAGCCACCAAATCCTGTTGGTGGCCGTTATTAGTGATGCGTCAATGCCATCACAACAAACCGATAGTTGTTCGGATCCATGTTCACAATGGTATTTTGAATCGTTTCAAAGGCCGCCTGGGTCCAGTTATCATCGTCACAAGGACCATGGTCAATCGGACCATTCATGCGCCCGTCGAGCTCGTATAGGTGTCCATCGTTTGGAATAAATGCGACGAAGTGCTCGGAGACGTCGTCCAGATTAACCGGTGGCTTCGTCTGACCGGCGTGTGCTAGGTCGCAGTTGGCTGCCTGCGACCCACTTTGAAAATTGCCAGCGAACTCCGCCAGCTTGTCGCAATCAATCAAGTCGGGACGGGCGATGTTCATAACTGCGTGCATGATGGCTACTGGACCGCACGCGTTCTTCTCGAATTGTCTAGTGAACCAAACTGGCCGGTCCTGTTCTTGTGTATCCTTCACCGCTTGACCACTATTCTCACTCTCTCTTTCCGTGCGACTCCCTTTCTGAGCCGGCTTTCTTTCCGCAACCGCTGGGGGGAGGGTTTGGTACCTCTTCATGATTTGGTCGTTCAACGAGAAGAGACAAATCAGCGCCAGAGGCTGTGGCGCCCCTGGCAAGGGCTCTAGTATGTACACGTCTTCAAAATCGAGCTTCGTGTTCGGATCGATCCTCTCCAAATACGATCTGAATACAGGGGGGTTCGCTTCCAGAGGAATCATGTTTTGTGTTGTAAAAAAAATTGGGTCTATTCGGGCTTCTTATAATAGGCGCTATTGCTGCCCTTGATGCCTCGGGCTCTGAACTCATCATTCAAAAGCACTATGATACAAGTCATATTGTCACAGCCGATGCCGCCCTCGGAGTCCATTGGATCTGCGACATTAGGTATTAGAATGCAGTGCACTCAGCCCGTGTGTTTTGTGTTGGCGTGTGTGACACTTACGGCCGGCGAGGCAGGTGTCGCACATCTCTTCGCAGATGGCGGAGAGATGTTGAGGTGTGGGATTGTCTCCTAGTCTACTGAGTACGAATTCACAGGCTTGCTGATTGGTAAGACAATCCCAGATACCATCGCATGCGATGATAATGAATTGGTCTTGAGGTGTAATGCCGGTGATCATAACATCGGGGTACGCGGTGATTTTCTGTTGTTCCGGTCTGAGTGTTTTGTTCCGTTTGTAGAATAGGTCTCCGAGTGTGCGGGAGAGATTGAGATTACCGTCAACGCGCCCATGTTCGATGTAGCCTCCAGCGCGTACTATACGATTCAGTTCATTGTATAGGTGTGGTTTATGGTCATGGCTTTGCGCAACGGCAATACCATCACGACAAAGTACACATCTTGAATCCCCCGCGTTCGCCGTAATCAGGAAAGGCATCTCCCCGCCCACAATGGCAGTTAAAACCACTGCCGCACCACATGTGTCCGGTACTGCCGGGCGGCTAGAAGCACCTCCATTCCATGCATCCGTCGACACCTGCGCATGCAACTCGGGTACAGCCTCCTCCTCACTACCCCCTGCCTTCGCCGCTGTTGACTCACTCGAATCCAAATGGTGCTCAGCAGTCTGCACTATCGCTTCAACCGGTGGTGTACCCGGCCCACTTGCCGCGGCCGCTGCTGCCTCCACGACCTCAGACGCCAAACGTGGACTCTTCAACTCTGGAGCCGTCACGTGTGCATCCTCGACAATGGCTTCTGGCTTCACACCAGCCTCCGACTTGCCGCCTTCGGCATCCGATTTGAGGCTCTCCGGCTTGTCGCGAGCAGCGGCCGAATCCTTCCTCTGCGGGCTCGCTTCCTTCGTCACATTGTCCAGCTTCTCCCCCTTCTCAGTCTCCTCATGTTGATCCGTGTGTTCGGAAATTTCCGGTACGATATCTCCGACCTTTATCTCTTCGATGACGGTACCTTGATTAATCTTATCCTCTTGAGTGTTCGGTGTTTCGACTTCATCCGCAGTGGTAATTTGGAAAAATTGTTCTCCATTTTGCTCGATTAATTTTATTACTGAAGACCGATTCGAGTTACCACCAAGGAACGCTTGAATCACATTCTTCCCTTGCTGACTAAGCAATGAGCGCAGACCACCAGACGCGGGGTCATTGTCATCTTCATCATCATCTGTATCATGTTGATCATCTTCAGCACCTTTAGCGATTAACATTTCGTTCAATTGGCGGATCTCATCAAGGTTACCCTCTGTCTGCATCTCCTCATCCAATTCAATGAACGTCTTACATAGACTCTCACTCAACAAAATAATATCCTTCTCAAAATGCGATGGCAAACCAGCCGGTGGAGCAGTCTGCGTTGCCTTCAACTCTCGAGCCAATACAGGTACCATGTGCCGCGCAATCCATTCGGATACTGCAGGACCACCATGACCATCAAAAACGCCATACAAAGATACTTCACGTCCGTTTAGCAACTCCTCCAATTCCTTCACATGAGGCAAAGCCAAGTGAGAATCCTCCATCGTCTGCCTCCAACCCTGCATCGACGTCAATCCAAATGATGTCGTCCCACTCGTCCGGTCCCCACCATAGTCTGACTCCTACAACAACAACGCTAAGTAGTGTGGCACGGGAAGATCAACTGGTGTGGCACGGGAAGACCAACTGGTGTGGCACGGGAAGACCAACTGGTGTGGCACAGGTAGACCAACTAGTGTGGCACAGGTAGACCAACTAGTGTCGCACGGCAAGACCAACTAGTGTCGCACGGGAAGACCAACTAGTGTGGCACGAGAAGACCAACTAGTGTGGCACGGCAAGACCAACTAGTGTGGCACAGGTAGACCAACTGGTGTGGCACGGGAAGACCAACTGGTGTGGCACGGGAAGAACACTTGCGAACTTGGCATCTGTAAGCATACACACACCAAGGACCAGGCACATGCAGGGCGTGTGCTGCAACCCCTCACGTGCCGTACCTACCTTTTCAGTCTTGGGTTTGCTGAGATATACCCCCATAGATTTTTTGGACCCAATAAAAAAAGGACTTGGCCATATATGAGTCTGCAAATGTTGATGGGAGCTTCAGGACGCAGTTAAAGGAACTGCGCTCATTGTTACTTTAGCTAGTGAGTATATAGAGGGGAGACCTCTGATACCAATTTCGATCCCTAAGACAAAAGCAGAATTCATGAAGCGTGCTGTGTGATCCCTGA